GTTCTTGCCGCTCAGGGAAGAATGGGGCGAAGGGTGGTCAAATAGGGAGGATTTGACGGGCCTAGCGGCGCGAAGGCTCCGTGTTACGATTGGGATTAACGGATGGCTCAAGGGCGAAGAGGACGTGACGAAGCCGTGGCGTGCGCTAGGTGATGAGACTGAGGTATTCGCACTCCGGTACGAGATGAAGAGCCTTATGGCACTCGGCGAGCAACTCAATGGTTTCGTCACCTCGGCTGCGTGGAGTGCTGTAAGAGCAGAGATCTTGCAGCGGACGGTACTTGCGACGCTGCAAGGAGCACTATGGCCAATCTTCCTCCTAAGCTCGGCGTCCAACGTCGATAACCCTTTCAGTTTGGCACGCAATCGGTCCGAGAAAGCCGGCAAGATTCTAGCGGATGCCCTGATCAATAAGGTACAAGGAGAGCGGCCCGTCACGTTAGTCGGATACTCCCTAGGCGCAAGAGTGATATATGCATGCCTACGAGTGCTGGCAGACCGCAAAGCATTTGGGCTCGTGGAAAATGTGGTCCTTATTGGCGCACCGGTCCCGTCAAATACTAGTCACTGGCAGATAATGCGGACTGTGGTCTCGGGCAAGTTGTTCAATGTCTATAGCGAGAACGATTACATCCTTGGTTTCCTGTACCGCGCAACCAGCATGCAGTTGGGAATTGCTGGTCTGCAGCCTATCGGTGGAGACATCGAAGGCGTCGAGAACCTGGATCTCAGTAACGAAGTCACGGGCCATCTACGATATCCGGCGCTCACTGCCAAGATCCTCGCGCGTTGTGGGTTCCCTGATGTTCTGGGCGGGGCCGGTGCCATAGAGAAGGACGAAGGCAAGATCGAGATCGAGTTGCGCGATAAGGACTGGGCCGAAACCGGCAACCTGATCGATTTCGAGGACCGACCGAAACCGACGAAGCAAGAGAACGAGAAGTTCGACCCAATGGTAAAAAACGTCCAAGAGCAGAAGAGCGATGCGGGGGTCAGAGATGCGAAGATGGTTGGTACGAGAGACATGAAGAAGCCAGAGACCGCGTCAACAACGACTTCTATGCCGGATTTGAGCCAGACGCCACGATCTGCCCCTGAGGTGGCACCTGCTCTTCCGCCGCGGTCTATTAGTGCAAGCCAGGCCGCGATGCCGCCACCGCCTGCATATTCAGGCTACGGCGCTGCCAGTCACGATGATGATGATAGACATAGCTACGACGGTTATGATTCGGAGGAGGAGGGCGGTGGGATCAAGATGATGGACAACGATTCTGAGGGAGAGTTGACTTTCATTGAGCCTTTACGCATCGAGGATGACTAGATATTTTAGGATCATCGATATCAGAACAGGGGGAGTATATACCCATGGAAGGAGTCGAACTATCTATGTATTTTTATATCGAATACAACCGCTGGCACCATGGCGTGCCAGATTACCTACTTGGCTGTGGTCTTGGCAATGTTGCCGCGCAATTATTCTCCCTCGGCGGCTCATTCAATCTTTGCCTCAAATATATACTTTATAAGGGTCTGATTCCAATACTTAAGCAGTTCTGGCCTCCTTTTCATGATTTGTAAGATCCTGTTCGCAAGGTAATCTGCTAGGCTACTCTAGAATAACCTCGAATATACCTAGGTAGGTATCTTAGCTTGATATCTATAATGGCAATTCAGTGTCTTATGTAAGCTCATAAGTACCTAACTTAAGACGGGCTATAATATTTGTCAATCCGTGAAGGGACTTCCCCAACGGCAAGCCCGACCCCGAATCGCGGGTGTTAAGAGTCCGGGACGTTAAAATTGAAGAATGTTCCGGTTTACCACACTGACGTCAACGGCGTCATCCCCGCGCTTTTTTCTTTTTCCATTCAGAAATTGACAGAAGTAATTATTCCAATTACCCATTTACCTGTATCCTGCCCTGTATGAGAGATTAACATTCCTTCTAGTCCTCGTTACCTAATAACCGAAAGACTACCTAACGAAGATGGTCACGTTCAACCTCGCCTACACGGCCCCCATCAACCCCGCCGACGCCCCATCCACCCTCACGCTGTCGCAGGTCTGGGCGGGCCTGCAGCGCAAGGTGCGCCGCGCGCAGGACTTCGTGCCGATCATCGACCTGTGCAATGTGCTATCCGAGGAGAACGTCCAGGGTACCGGCAACCTGAAAATAACACGCGAGGTGCGGTTCAAGGCCGGGTCGGAGCCGGGCGCGGGCAGCGGCGGCAAGTTGGTGAAGGAGGTGTGTGTGCACTTCGCGCCGTGCCGCGTCGACTTCGAGCAGCCGGACGGCAGCACCATCTCCAACATCGTCAGCACCGGGCCCGACGGGGAGCTGCTCATGACGTACGCTTTCGAGTGGAGATACCCCGACGTCAGCGAGGGGAGCGAGGAGGCGAAGACGCTGGAGGAGAAGAGTTGGAAGGTGAGTCTTGTTTTTATTTCTCCTTTTCTGTCTGTCCTTTGGTAAACTAGAGGACCTAGTGTCTTGGCTAACCATGTTTTGGACTTGTAGACGGCGAAGATGGCTGTTCATGGAACTATTGATACCGTTCGTCGACTGGTTAAGGACGGCGAGATCCAGTAATGGTCGGCTTTATGTGGTTTGGCACGCAGATCGTAGTGGCGGACACATCGACCGTGTTCATGATAGCTCCTTAAATATGGATTCAGCTGTCTACGCTGCTGTGCACTGCGGTATACGAGATGTATAATACCCAACGCTGTATCTGTCTGAATCTCCTACTTCAGTGTGTTCCTCATAATTTAAGCCGTGCTCGGGTAGTGGTACATCAATACACGACGAGTTCAACAAATTTCGAAAATAGTATAGAATTCATAGCTAACTACCTATTAAGTATAACTATAGAGATATAGTGTACTTAATCGTCCAGGCTACTTCCCGTTTTCTCTGTCCGATTCCAGTCATCGTCTCTTCTAATCCGCTACGAGGATGATTGTATGGAGGTTATGTCTCGCACGGCTACCTCTGTTCCAACAATACCGTGGATGCCAAAAACCGTCGGGTCGCAGTTCCAATGTATTGTTTCGTTTTCATCGTAATCATCCAAGTTCCGAGGATTGCCCCATTGATCGACGGGTCCAGTGCTCCAAGACCAAGCAGTTCCCTGATCCAGTACAGATTCACAACGATCCGTATCCCCTATGCAAAAGAACCATCTATGCGTCAGAGGGCGGCAACATGATCGAGGGTGAAAATAAATCTCTTTTACACCCAATACCTTACCAGCAAGCCAAGTATAAATATAGCTTCGGTTGTGAGGTTAATAATGGGAAGGATCATTGGCGAATGGTGGTTCGGTACTTCTGTCGTCGATCAAGATGTTCCAAATAGCATTGCCGTTAACATATAGGCCTCGTCTCATGAAATTCAGTATTCCCTGGAGTTCATCACCCGCATGCCATGGCCAATTTGTCAATTCATCCTGGCATCGACCACGAATTTTACTCCACGTCGGATCTAAATAATTAGCTCGAGTACAGTAACTAGAGTTAGCTTCGAGGGCTGACCTACATTTCCAATGCCTCCACACTCTTGTCAGCAACATGTAACACTCATATATCTCGCGGTCTGAAAATGTGTGCCACAACCTCCGGATTGCTTTGCGGAAGCCCTCTGTAGATGTATCTTCAATCAGGTCAAAGAGGGTAAACCCAAGCTCCATCAAGTAAAGGATCCGTCTCTGGCGAGCGATTTCCGTAGGCGTGAAGAATTTATTCTCCAACTTTAAAGGCCAGACTATGGCGTACGTGGTCAGCCAGTCCAGTGTGAGCTCTATGGCCATGTTGATCTCGGGCATCGGGGCTAGAGTACGAAGTCGGTAGAGCCTCAATGGCCAATCGCCTCGGTTGCAGTACGTTTCGAGAAACTCGTGAACTTTGTCGACGGATGTGCGGTCAATCAAGCGGGCTTCGGACGCCACTGTCACGATAAGCGTCAGTAATCACTTCTTCAAATACGAATCTGAGAGGATTTAGATGTGTCCAGAGCAGCAATTCTTAAAGGGGCATTATCGGGAAGCCTTTGCTCTCAAGATAAATAATAAGGGGAAGGGAATAGTCAATATCACGTACTGAACGCTAGCTTGAGTAATGCCGGGTCGTCATCTTCGAGAAGCTCAATAGCAAAACCACGAGCTATTCTGCTCTCATTTTCCACGAGGATCGTATGGTATCTATGCGCGGTACGGCTAAGGGCCACGATGGCCTTCGGGTTCGGCATGCTGCAGAATATCTGGATGATTGTCTCGGCGGGTAGATTATCAAGGGAGGTGCATTCTTCCCCAGCAGCCATGGCTACTGCGGTGTCCGACATCTTGCCTTGGTAGATTGCAAGAATTGTCGATCTTGAAGTATGCTGATGCTCGATGCCTTGAAAGGTGATTTTCAGGAGACCGAGAGGGGAGAATTGAGCTTACCTGGTGCTGTATTTATAATAGATTGCAAGATTGGTTGTTTGCTTGTGCCAGCACGCATGACCTCAGTTTCGGATGGACGGCTCATCGTAGATAAACAACTCTGGTTTCCACCTCATTGCCCATGAATAAGTCTTTCGAGCATATGACACGTAGATACACCAAGAACGTGCGTTTTCTATCCAATGATATTAAGCCACTCAACTACCCTTAGTCGTTATGTGAGAGCCAAACGAAAGATATGTGACTAACATGTTTTCAACGAGCAGTTAAGAGCCTGCTTTGGGTGGTCTCTACGTCTGAATTTGATGTGACGGAGCCTATACTCAACAACGGTCAAGGGGCTTGAATGGTAAATGGCGTAGGTGTAGCTTCTTGCAAGCTTCTGGTTAGACCAACTGTATGGATGTCACACTCATGCTCGAAGTTCGTTTTAGTGCGACTCCAGTTAATTCTAGGATTGTCGATTGTACGTATGCTAGAATGGATCATGGTGGCTTTAATAGCAGTTATCTCTACAGATAACTACTTACACAGTAGGACAAGCTCCGCTGTCTGAAGTCCGAATTGGGGGAGTGGCTAACATATGACGCTCTCGTGTCTAAACAACATTGGGCCGTCAAGCACGGGGTTCGATTCCCCGATTCGGAGTTTGATGCTCTTTTTCCTATTACACATCTAACTTGCAATTTTATAAACGAGGCAGGTAATGGAGACTGTTGTTGCACTGGAGACAACGTTGGAGGATAGAGGTTGGTGCTCTAATGAATAGTATTGCATTTCGTACCAAACCTATTTTGATATTTTCTCAAAGTGGTGATCATACATCAAGTCAAGGCGGACGGTGAACTTCTCCCCACGCTTTACCTCTTGTCCGGAATGCCATAGCATCCGCTGCTGGAACACCAACGCCCTACCTATCTTCGGCTCAATATCTAAGAATATCTCCTCTTCTTTTTGGGGCCCATTCCCTTCTTGTGCATCTTCAGACTTATTCTTTTTCCCCATGCCTACACGACTGGGCCAGAACCTCGTCTCCCCGCCCGAACTCTCCCCGTCTGGCTGCGCTTCTGGCATGTCGCTCAGGTAGATCTGACAGGTTAAAAAGCTCTTCTCCCTGCCACCGGGGAAATACAAAGCGTCGCAATGCGGTTTAAAGTGGTGGCCGGGCCGGTAGCGCAGGAAGCTTAGCCTCTCATCGGCACCCCTGAGTCTCCAGACGGTCTTGTTGGCGCCCTGGCTAGCCTTCAAATTCGATAGACCTGCGATATGTTCGGATAGGGCGTCGCCCTTCCTCAATGCCTTTACTTCCTCAGGCAGATGTGACACGAGCCTTTCGGATAAGGCCTTTGCCCAGTCGGGCGAGATAGAGAGAATCCGTTCGCACTCGCGCCACGAGTCCCCTTTATTCAAGCTCCGCCAGTCGGAACCTGCAGAAGCAATAACAGCAGCGCATTCCGCTGATGTGAACAGGTTGTCTATGACCATGGCAAAATACGGGCTATAGTGGTCCGCTAGCGGGGTCTGGGAGAAATCAATGCGGGATGTCGTTACTGGAGGTCCATCCGGGCCGCGTGGGTCAATAAGGGGCTCGTCGCCCCGCGTTGTTTCTAGTGCCATGGTGACGGGTTGTGCAAGTGAGCCTTTGCGTACGTGTAGAACAGTGTGTAACCCATGAGTGAGACTGTGATTAAGGGTTGTGATATAATAGAGATGTGACTTGGAACAGACTCGAGAAGCTGGGAGTAAGGCAGATCTTGAGAGACAATCCGTGCAACAGTTGCAGAACTTATACTACCTTGTTCATAGACAATTGGATGAGTCACGATGTTAAGGCTGGTACCAAGGCGAAGCACCGTGCCTATCAGCACCGGTTTCTTATTCCCACCTCTACTTCGTAGCCTACCAGCTATTCCACAAGAGACAGATCACGCAGAAGTCTGAATGGAATCTTAGCCAATTGTCATTGTAAGTTGAGTGACTTGATAACTTATGAATTAAGATGAACAGAAGAGAGATGAAGTTGGGCTTCTACTTAATGCGCATTGCATATTACCATATTACATAGTAAAGCCACACGTGGCGGTGCACTTTCGCTTTAGGACAATGAGATTGTGGAAATTGTGCATATGCTGAAACTGAAACTAGACCCTCCAGTGAGATTTCTCTTTTTTAAAAAAAGGCCCCACCACTGCGACGACAACCCTCCAAATTTTGTTTCATTCCAGAAGCTGCGAAAGAAAAAACCCCTTCCCTTTTACCCAAACGGCGACTTGAAAATTTGAGGAGACTATTGCCTGGTGCATAGTCGTAATTGAGACCCCACTGTAAACGAACAAGAGTGACCTTTAAGCTTTCACCATTTTGGTTGCCTACTTTTATCACTCTGTACCTTATTTTCGCAATTGCGACCGGTTGCCCCTCCTCACCTCAGTAACGAACCTTCGCTACAAATCTTGGCTAGGAACCTTCCCTCTCTATTGCTATCGCGAAAAAAAGAGCAATTGCGACACACACACACATATCTCTACAGACCTCCTGATTTATCTCAAGGTTCGATTTGTTTGACACAACTTCTTCCTAAGACTCCCATCTTGGAAAACGTCAAGTCGCAAACCAGTCATCCACCGATATCCTCATTTCAAATCCACTCTTCGTCCACCACTTCTATTCTTCCAGTGCCATATCACAATTCAAGATGTCGGAACAAGTCGATCTCACTACCATCCCTATCTCGCCGAATGGCGACAATAAGACGTCGTCTGACGATGCCACATCAGAGAGCGGCGGCAAGCTGATCACGGTGTTCCATGACAAGGATAACTTCAACGTCAAGCACCCCCTTCAGAACAAATGGACTCTCTGGTTCACCAAACCCTCCAGCGGAAAGGTTGGTCTATATATAGTCTTGAGTCTAGTTCTATAGTTCTAGCATTAACAGTAAATAGGGCGACAATTGGAACGATCTGCTCAAGGAAGTTATCACCTTCAACTCCGTCGAGGAGTTCTGGGGCATCTACGTAAGTTGTCCTATTTCTTTGCATATAGATCTATCGAAGCTAACCCCATTACGTATAGAACAACATCGCACCCGTCTCCGAGCTAGCCCTCAAGTCCGACTACCACCTCTTCAAGGAGGGTGTGCGACCAGAGTGGGAGGACCCTCAGAACAAACACGGCGGCAAGTGGTCGTACCAGTTCAAGGACAAGCGTAACGTCGACATCAACGACCTGTGGCTGCATACGATGCTGGCCGCGATCGGCGAGACCCTCGAAGAGGAGGACGACGGCGAAGTCATGGGTGTTGTTGTCAACGTCCGCAAGGCTTTCTACCGTATCGGCGTCTGGACCAGAACTATAGGCAAGAGCATTCCGGGTCGAGGAGACGGCGACGTGGCAGGTGGCAAGGGCCGCTCCGTCGAGAAGGGTCAGAAGATTCTGCAGGCTATTGGCACGCAGTTCAAGGAGATCCTGAAGCTTCCCGCCAACGAGGTCGTCGAGTTCTCGGGCCACACGGACTCTGCCCATAGCGGCAGCACTCGAGCCAAGGCCAAGTTTACGGTCTAAACTCTTGTCGACGTATAACGCATTGACCCCACGGACGGAACGATTTGGACCATTCACTTGGCCCGGATCATCGACATACCTCACGATGGCTTTTTGGAACGACTAAGGGCTTACTAGTGACCTGTTACTAGTCGCCACTACGGAATCAACGAGAAAATGCCTAGCTAATCACGGACGGAGTTTCTAGGCTGCTAGGAGTTGGTGGCGTGGCGATTGCCCTCGATATGACAACACATATCTTATTTCACGCCTGACAGGCAGGGAAATGGGTGGCCTGAGCAGCATTTACTCGCTTATTGCGATGTCTTCTGTCTGCTTCTGTTAGTAGTGTTAGTACATGTACTACCGCAGATAGCAGACAATATCAATAATTAAGAAAACCCGTCTTGAAGACATAAACAACATTGCACGTGAATGACACCTGGCCATTGAATATTGTTTAACAATAATTTGAATTATGGCCCGATATCATAAGGTGACGATTCTACTAAAGTAGCAGGTAACCTAGACTAGGCTCTTTTTCCTACGGCGGCGAGCGAGCCTCGTTCATTCTAACTCTACCATAGCATATGTAGGCTTGGAGAAAAAAATGAAAAGGAAAAGAATATGTACAAGAGGCGGTAGCCGACGACTTATGTACCTAGGTAAGAGGTAGTAAAGGAAAGGGAAGAAAAACGTAGGTATGGACAATATCCTAGAGTCAGAGTATCAAGCGTGAAGCCCAAACTTTCCACCACATATACACAACCATTCCCTCGCTTCCATTTTCGTTGTCTCGTCTCGTTCTTGATTTATTGAATCAAGCGTTATCCATCCTGGAATTAGACCATGCACCCACCATCCACCACCCATCATCACATCCCACATCACATCACGTCACTCACGTCTCTACATCTCGTCCCCGCTAAAGTCGTCCAGGAAGACCTTCCGCAGGAGGTCCTTCTTGTTGATCTTGCCCATGGCGTTGCGGGGGATGTGGTCGACGACGCGCAGGACCTGGGGGATCTTGTAGGTGGCGAGGCGGCCCTTGAGGGCGCGGCGCATGTCGAGGGGGCGCCAGGCGGGGCCGTGCGCCAGGTGCTCGGCGCTGTGGATGACGACGGCGCCGACCTTCTGGCCCCACTTGCCCGACGGCACGGCCACCACCGCGCACTCGCTGACCTCCGGCAGCGACAGCAGCTCGCGCTCCACCTCCAGCGCCGACACCTTCTCCCCGCCCGACTTGATGATGTCCGCGCTCTGCCGCCCCAGGATGAAGTACATGGGGCCCTGCGCCCAGGCGCCGCTGGCCCCGTGCCCGGCCGCCGGCACCGGCCGCCGCACCGCCACGTCGCCCGTCTTGAACCAGGGCCCGCGGCCGTCGTCGGCCGGCACGAACTCCTTGCTGGTGGCGGCGGGGTTGGCCCAGTACTCGGCGAAGACGTTGGCGCCGCGGAGCTGGATCTCGCCGGAGCGCTCGGGGGCCGTCTCCGCGTCCGCGTGCGCGTCCGCGGAAGAAGAGGGGTCGACGTCCTCGACGACGGCGCCGGTTTCGGTGTCGACGAGGCGCGCCTCGACGCCGGGCAGCGGCCAGCCGACGGAGCCGTCGACGCGGTCGGCGTAGTCGAGGCCGCACGACAGCGCCATGCCGACCTCGGTCATGCCGTAGCGCTCCAGCAGCACGTTGCCGCGCGACAGGTCCTTCCACGCGCGCTTGACGGGCGTCGGCAGCGCCGCCGACCCCGAGATCGACACCCGCATGTGCGCCGGGCTGATGGCGACGCGGCCCGCTTCCGCGACGGACGGCGGCAGCGCCTTGTGCGTGGCTAGTAGGCGCGTGTACACGGTGGGTACGACCGTGAAGAACGTGATCTTCACCCGCGACATGTTCTTGTACTTGTCCTCGGCCGGGTCGGCGGCGGCCTTGGGCGCCTCGGGCGCTTTGACGGCCACAGGCGCGCTGGGGGTTTCGGCTATGGGCGTGGTGAAGCCGTTGGTGGAGGCGAGCGGCGTGTTGACCCCGGTGGATAGCGCGGGGGTCGGGGGCACGCCGTTGGTCTGCTGCGAGATGGCGTGGTTGAGGCCGTTCGTGAGCGCGGCTGGTT